TTGGACAGCCATTTATCCGAAATGGTATAGGGTTTCCTGCCTGAGCAGGGGGTTGGACTAGATGACCTCCAAGGTCCCTTCCAACTTGATGATGATGATGATGATGATGATGATGATGATGATGAGATGATGATGATGATGTAGAATTTTCCTAAATTAAATTTATTCAAGCTATCGGTCTTTGGCTGATATGATGTAGGCATTCAATGCTATGACTAATTATTAGGTTATCAATATTTCTATTATTGAAATAGGTGCATTTTCTCAATTGATGTCAAGATTTTAAAGTTGTCTACTTGTTCAGCAAAATTGCACTAACTATGATTGAAGCTGTAAATTATGTGTAAGATTGCAGCCCAAGGTATTTAACTTTTTTAAAAAATAATGAAACAAAAGCTAAATGCAAATTTATTGACAAATGAGGTACTACATTTTCAGGAATCTATAAAGATAGAATTATAAAGCAATATAAACCTGAAATACATGTATAATTCTTATAAAACATAAATGTCTAAATCTGTAGACTTTTATATGAGCTGTTAAAAAAACAGAACCTTGGCTAATGTAAACTAATCTAGATTTCATGAAAGAAAAGTTCTTAAGGTGTTTATGCTTTCTAGCCACACTTGCTCTCTGATGTTATTCAGCTGGTTAAAGTAGTAAAACTTCACAATGACCTACCTGTGATTAAACCCTATAGACTTCATCTTCTGCATAACCATATTTATAACTGCACAATCCTTCACTACTTGTGATTGATTCAATATTTAGTCATAATTAAAGTAAAAATGCCTTAAGAAGGGTTGAGTGGGGTGAGCTTTTAAAAAATCAAGATGTCAATCATAATTATGCATTCAATGCTCCACCCTTTCCACATGAGATTCAACACATGTGAAAAGATTGTGTTTTTATAGCTGCCATGTTTCCTTCTTACATATATCCTTATGAACACTACTGAATTTAAGTCCTACTACTTATAATTTATCTATGCTACATATAATTTATTTCCCAATAAATACAAATATCATTACTCGTACCAACAATACTACTACCAACAGATGCAGATATTTGCTTTAACTCTTACCAATGAGCAAACGCTTTCTTGTTCTAACTGATCCACAGTCCATACCGCAGGCAGAAAATTTTGACCAGGTTGTGAATAGGCAGTCATCTTGGCAAGGAATTTGGCAGAGTTGTGTTAAGGGTGGTAAAGGCCCTGCATATTTGAGGCATTCACCAATATCAACTTGGCTGCCATCTTGTTTGCGACATGTAATAGCTGGAAGCAGGAAAGCAGAAGAAAGTATACAAACTAACAGACCTTTTATGTGTTAAACAATGTAACAGCTAACAACAGGCACCCATATTTGATTTAAGAGCAAGGCAATATGTTCATGAATAATATTATTTCCCCTGGGAACTCTCCACAATGGATTCATTTTCAAATATCAGGAAACACAGAATAATGCACATCTCCTATGTAATTCAAATCAGCAGTTGATCCAAACAGTGTGACATAGAAGTACAATAAAAATATACTGTGAAGGAAAGTATACTATTTATTATTATCCACTTTACAGCATAATTTAACTTCTCTGTATAACTAATTTGAAGAATAATAGATTTTAGGGGGGAAAAAACCTGATTCTTGCTCCAATTCTAAATATACTGAAATTATGCATGTGTAAACATATTTCAATCTGGAAACAGCTGTTCTTGGAAAATAAAATTGGTAGGAAAGCAGAAACAATGTGTATCTGAATATTATAATGAAGTGTAATGAAACACAAAAGATCTCCTTTCCAGCAACAATGCCATAAAGAAATTTGTAGACATGAAGGCATTTGATAATAGAATACATTCCTATAACTTACAAAATACAACATACAGTTTCTTTGAAAGTGTCTATTGAATGATATTTCATTTCATACCATAACCTAACTGCTATTTTTGACTAGCAATTCTACCACTTCATAAACTCTTAACAAGCCATGGACAATTCACTTTCTCCAGCATCTTTTCATGCAACAGAGAAAAGGCTGCTTGTTCCAGTTCTATATAAAAAGCAAAAACCATACGAAATGCTTTTGGTAGCTAGCCATACACCCTGTTTTATGGGGATTTTCTTACTAATGTGTCATGCTGATTTCAAAAACATTTACTCCCAATAATGTATGGACTAGGGTCTAAGAGAAGATTTTATTTTGCAAATAAGACCTTCCCAGGTGATTCCATGACCCTGGGACACTGAAACCGTAATAAATATGAGTCAGTTGCCAAGCATCCAAATTCTGATCGTGTGACCATGGGAATGCTGCAATGGTTATAAGCATGAAAAATGGTTTAAGTCACTTTTTTTCAGTGCCGTTGTAACTTTGAATGGTCAAATGGTTGTAAATTGAGGATTATCTGTGCTCTTTAGGCCAACCAGCTCATTGGTTATTCATCTCATTTTTAAAAAATTAAAAGCTACGATTATTGGGGGAAGGGGGAGAAGAATAAGTCAAAAACTAAGTGAAAGGAAGTGGGCCCACAGGAAACTAGCAGGAGCTAATGTAACTACAAGTTTGTTTGCATGAATTACAAGCATCCATATGTCTTTCATTGTCTAGAGCAGGACAAAGGGAAAACAATTCCTCAGACCACCTCTGCTGCAGGTAAAGATACTGGCAAAACTATGCAGGTAATATTTTCTGAAAATTTAGATTTGCCCTTGGGTATCTCAATGCTGTGTCAGAAATAAATCAGTTCAGCTGCACAGATGATAGTGTACGAGCATACTAATATGAAACTGATTAAGGAATGTCAGAGTGCTCACAATGCAAGAGTACTCACACAGAGATGGCTATCTGGCATGAAATGAATGATTGCTGTCAAGGTATATATAGATAGCATTCTCTAACCCCCAAATATCTTTGCTATTAACAGAAAATGTTAATGATAAATTATTTAATAAGCCATAGAAAGAAAGCTGTGGTAAATAAAATAATAGTATGCTTATATACCAATCCATGAAAACCTTCAATTTATACACATTCTAAAACAATTTAAGTCGCATCCAAGTCCACTATTTTACTAGCATAGTGCAAATAGCATTTGAGACTAGAAATCAGTCTCTTATCACATTGTGCCAGGCTAATAATTAATCACTCTGCTCACATTAAATTGATTACAAGCATTAACACTAAGAATCAGAAATGTGCTTATTCTGGATTAACCACAAAGAATTGCAAAATACTCCCATAAACCACAAGGACGCAGTTGCCAATTATATCCAATTTAACAAGCATCCAGTTCACTTAACATACTATTCACCTGCTTGATATCTCAGGCTTCCTAAAAGAGTTATCCGAAATAAATTGCACTTCTAATTTTGCAAACAGAAGACTGATACAATTATAGCTGATAGTATTGCTTAAACTATACCACAAGGGAACATGGACTCATAAATTAATATTATGTGGATAATTAAATACAAAATCCGCCCGGTGTATGAAAATCATTTTTAATGAAAAAAAAATCCCTAAACTATTTATATTGCCTAGTCAAATACAACCAAATTATACAAGCTGTAAAAATGTACTGGTGTTATTAAATTGCTTTAAGGTATTTTATATTTCATACGAATTATGCATTATTTATTTCTATATATTTGTAATTGCCTGTTATCTTCAAAGACAATACGTTCATGACCCCACTTTTTCTTTTTAAAGCACATATTTACTCTGAAAATATATGTAGTTTTGAGTCCTCTTCATATTTATTTACTTCCTATGTTTTCTGGTGGACAAAAGGGCACACTGCACTGGATTATCTTACATTCTTGTTTTTTCTTTGGGTAGCAATTAATTTAATTCTTTCTTCTAGTTCTTACCTACAGACCTACATTCCTCCAATTAGATGAGTTATGATCTATGTTTACAATACAGGCATGTCAAGAAAAGCTTTCTGCCCAAGTTGGAATACAATTGCCATCAATACTTTTCTAATATCATGCAAAGATAAAAAAAAAAAAAATCCAGATGAGTCATCTTGTTGTTCTAATCTCTCTTGTATGATTAGAACAAGTCGTATGAGTCACAACTGTTAGTTTTTGCCCTTGAAGATTCTTCAGCAAACTGTTGAGTTTTTGAAGATCAGGAATGTAATTCTATGAAATAGCAGCATCAAATGCTTAATGCATAGACGTTGCCTACTTTCAGTTGTGAGTTTCAAACTAGTATTAGAGCTAATTCCTGAGAATATACATAGATTTAGTTATTTAAAAGTGTAGAAGAATTTAGCAAAGCCTTCTGAATAAAGCCAGAATTTTAAGAATATAGTCAGTTTTTTGCATTTTTCATATGCCATTGTGTATTTTGATGGTACGCTGGGGCTTGCACTCCTAAGCCCTCCCTCCCCCCTTAAACTTTGTAGTTATTTCTCCAAAGTTGCTGCTGCTATTAACACAATATGTGAATTGATTTATTGTGTTAAGTACATAGCAAGTAAGGAGTTGGGGAGAAAAAAGTAGAGGAAATTGGAAATGTTTTCACTGACAGAACTGAAAATTAAAGTTGTAGCATATTCATTTACATGGGTATGATCTGAAACAAAAGCATAATTATGCAAGACAGATAGAGTCAGAGTTCTCTTGAAGGATGACCCCTTATGTTATTTTTTTTATTCACTCCTGAACACATCCCAGCTCAGCATGATTAAAAAAAAAAGAAAGCTGAAAATACAAACATATTACTTTAATTATAACAGCAATGTGAGCATTTATTCCAATTACAATTGGGAACTGACAAGGGTAGGCTTTTCCATGTTTTCACTTAATTGTTGCCAACTTCATTTAATTTCTAATTAACCCAGGAAAAACAGCACCCAAGCTAAATGAGAAAGATTAACTATCAAGCATATGCATATTTGAACCATTCTTTTCTGATGTAGCTAAACTCAGTATCCACATTTGGCACAGAAAGGCAAAGTCCAAGACTGAAGCCAACATCTTTCTATTGCTGCTTTACTATTCATTTATTAATTTAATGACAGACATTCTACCCCCCCCAGAAGAAAAGCCCAGGACCAAGTGGTTGGATCCCTCTACATACAGCTTAGAGCAGAAGAGCACAATGCTGGGCTCCTCGTGGCTAATTAGCCAGAAAACCCCAAAGATCCTCTAAAAGTTGTCACCAAACTGCACCTTTGAATGTGAAAGGAGGGGGAAGTTATTAAAACCCTTGTGGAGCAATTATATTAGCCATGTTTAATTAATGTAATTTGTTTTAATTAAAATGCAAATTGAATTAAATCACATTGAGTTGTTATCCTGGCCCCAGTTTTATCTTGGCTTACTATCTGGAGTGTAGCCCTGATGTGTTAGTTAAAAGCCATTCATGTCTCTTGTCCTGAAAAATGATGTGCTACCTGGTCTGGAGGGATTCTGGGAAAGTGAAAATGGAAACTATAGCAGCAACAGCAGCAGTCACAGCATAATCTAGTGCTCCTCAGCACCACTCATATCCCTATTGCTTCTTGCTGCTTGCTTCACTTACTGGAAAGATTTCTAAACTGATACTGAAGAGGGGATTTTGTTTAGACCTCTCCAGTTTATATGCTAAATCTGGGATTGATTGTGTACCAACAATGTTCTGTCCTTGAAACTCTATATATTGAATAACAGGACACCTCAAAATGCAAGCACAGATTCAACAGAACACGAACAGCTGAGGAAGGAAAAATCTTCATGAAAGTGTAAACCCAATAGTGATCGCCATATGATGAATATCATGAATTAGTTTTAGTGCTTCTAACCTCTTGCTTGTAGACCTGGACCACATGTCTCTTGGGCACCTGGGCTGTCTTGCCGAACATACCATGGTACAAGTTGGCATCGGCGCCATTTGTGTGTCTTCCATCTGCAGCAAAAAAAAACAAACACCAAATGACTATGTGAACACAGGTCACAGTAATTGTTGTCTAACAATTACTGTAAGTCTAACAAAAGTGCAATCTCAAGCTGATCCTTGCTGGTGCTGAAAAATAGGATCATACTTGAATGGTTTGACTGGCAAAGGACATTTTAAAATAGCAATAATCATCATTCAGAAGAAAGCAGTGGCAATCTATTATTTTATTAGCAAGAAAATTACATATATGCTCTGATCACAGCTTCATTACTTGCAAGAGATTCTAAAGATTCTTAAATATAGACACAGAAAAATAATCACATGACTTTTCATTTAACTTCATGCTTTGCTCTGTTCACTTACACTGAAATTAAAGTTTAACTTGTTATCTTTACCTTGATTATCTTCATATCTTTAAAAAAAATGTGGTTGAAGGGCAATTTTTGTAGCCAGCAACTAGATGGCTGTTTGCATTTAGAACTTTTCAGTCTAATCTGTAACCCTGGGTTTGCCTGATCATCTTCCATTCAAGCACCCCATCATTCTAAAACTTTAATTAGCTTTTTCAGGCTAGCCCTTTCCCCAATGCTGGACATATAAGACAGGCTTTTTATAGTTTCATAAATAAAGGAAAATGGCAAAATGCTATCAAAGGTATAACTTCCCCCAAAAGAAACTTCCATCTCCCTCCATGTATGTAACATGGGTCACATCTAAAACATTTAAGTGTGATTCTTGGCTCCCCCCCAAAAGGCAACCCTTCTGTGTTCTAGACTGAGAGAGGACAAAAGGAGTTTTAATTAAAAATAAAGTGTCACCTATAAAACAAGCAGACAGGAGAAGGATCACAGTCTTTTTCTTCATATAAGGTCTCTGGGCAGTCACGGCCCCCATTTGCCGGGAGCTGCAAGGTGACTCGATGTCGAGACTGTTTTGACACAGTAGCAACTGACCCTATGAACAAACATACAAATATTCATTTTGCTTCTCTTGTTATTGGACCACTGTACTGAAATTTGAGAAATTATAAAGACACTGCTCTACTAGTTGCTGACTACTTCAGAATACATTTTAAATATATTTGAAAAACCATAAAACAAACATAATTTAACTATTAGGTTAAAACAAAGTATAAATAAACGATGCACTTGCACAGAAAAAAACCCCAAATCATGTATTATACTGTCATAGTTTATATCTGAATATTTTATAAAGTTCTCACATTTATTTTCAAAGTGATTTTCTATATATATTCAGTTCAACTATAATGCCTTTGGAAGGTTGTATCTTACATTTAATATATCCTTCCCTTGATTTAGGCATCTAAGATCATCAGTATTTCATGCATATCTCTCATGTACAGTCAAATACTCTTATTTATTTACCTCTTGCACACTCTTCCAAACTATGCTGCACCCCTGTGCACCCTTCCTGATCCCACAACCCAATATTGTTTTGATCATAGATAATCTTGCAGTTTCCATCAATGGTGGGCACTTACTAAGATATTTATATTGCCAAACTCATAACAAAAGCATTTTTATTGCTGATCAAGAATTAGAAAGATACAAGTTTATTTCACCATTCAATTGTGAAGCTTTCTGAATGAGACCATTATAACCTTTCATACTTTCCTGACAGAATGAAACACTAAAGGTAATAAAGGTGAAGAGGAACAGACTTCAATGCATTTCCTTGCATTCTTGAAGGACTGATGAGATATGAATGAAATTCATAAATAAATCATCTTATTTAATAGAGATGCCAATCCTGACATCCAGCATAGTTGTTCATTGCTGCCATGTTTACATGGAGGTGCAAATGCAATGAATTGTTGTGTTATAAAAATAAATGATATCGATACTGCAATTAAAGAACTACCAAAGTATTATCCACCCTGTCCAGTACTCTATACTTAACACATTGGAACCACATACTGTATCTAGTTCCTGCTCTTTGCTATCATATTAAATATTTCAGGCACTTCTTTAAAGCCTAGAGTTTCAACATGCTCTTTGTTTTCAGTTACAGGTTTAATCTGCCTAATCCTTTATTAGTTGGTAAATACTTTAATTAGCAACCAGAGTAGCTGTAAAAATAACCCTGTATTGATCTCACGTTTTACACAACACGGAGCACAGGCTGTGAACTAAACAGGGTATCTTTTCAGTACAACAAGGACAGGACTTAGCAAAGAAGGAGTGAAAGCAAACACCATATGCCACAAGGAGATTAACTCACATAAATGAGGAATTATATTATTGACTGTAGCAATAACAGTGCATACATATTAAGATAAATGCCTCCTGCTAGAGACAAAGGGATAAAGCATAAATATGTGGACAAAATTCAGGCCATCAAAACTACTTTGGAAATATAGAAGAAATTCAAAATAAATATAACATGTAAAATTGTAATTTCAACCAGTTACATTAAACATCTGATAAGATGTGCTCAGTTAAGATTCCTAAACTTTATCTGCATGGTGTTTATTTTTCCAGAATAGTATTTTAATATCTATAACTTCTATCTTCTATGAAAAATATAGAATAAAAAAGGAGGGAAAATATCTCCTCATTCTACTATTGTTCATATGTTAGAAAAGGCATAAACCCTCTGTACTGCTGAACAGGAAGGTGAAATTTATTGGATACTAATATGGTTCATTAATTGGTTCCAGGATGTGTGATGAGTTAATAATGATGATGATGATGATGATGATGATGATGATGATGATGATGATGATGATGATGATGATGATGATGATGTTGGAAGGGACCTTGGAGGTCATCTAGTACAACCCCCAGCTCAGGTAGGAAATCTTATACTATTTCAGACAACTGGATGTCCAGTCTCTTCTTAAAAACTTGTTGGAGCATTCACAACTTCTGGAGGCTTGTTCCACTGACTAATTGTTCTGTCAGAAAATTTCTCTTTAGTTCTATGTTGCTTCTCTCTTTGGTTAGTTTCCATTCATTGCTTCTTCTCTTGCCTTCAGGTGCTTTGGAGAATAGCTTGACTTCCTCTTCTTTGGGGCAACCCTGAGATATTGGAACACTGCTATCATGTCACCCCTTGTCCTTCTCTTCATTAAACTAGACATACCCAATTCTAGCAACTGTTCTTTATATGTTTTAACCTCCAGTCCCGATTATCTTTGTTTCTCTTCTCTGCACTCTTTCTAGAGTCTCAACATCTTTGAGATAACTACCTAACAAAATTTTCCCATAAGGAATAATGTAGTGAGTCACAAGGCATCTGACATTGACAGGTTCTAGCTTACGCATTGAAAACCAAACAAACAATGAGTACTAGGACAAAATTTTCATGACAAAATGCATTGAGTACCAAATATGATGAGTTCCAAAGCAGCTGAGTAACAAAGTATTATTGTATATATCAGGTCACTTTCTTAATTTCCATTATATCCCTCTATAAATTGAACAAATGTAATCAATACCAGACATGTGTGCAGAGTCAACTTAAAGAACACTTCTGTTTAAAATTATATTAATATTTACCAAACTGAGAGATCCATCTCAATAGGAAGGTTAGACTTTAATCAATGGATAAAAAAAGATCAGAAGAAATAATGAAGGCTATTTACTAAAACATAATGCTCATAGAGATGGGGAAAATAACTATGAAAATCAGTAAGAATTACAGATACCTTTCAGTGAGTAGATTTGGGGGTCAAGATCATGCAGAAGGTGGGACTTTAGATAACACATTAATTAGTTCAACATAGTTTTCAGTATTATTTTTTTTTTTGAATGCTCAAGCAATTTTTTTATTTGTTAATGCATTTCTTTTTTGTTTAATTTGATTCAATTTACACATAGATATGTGACATCCTAATCAGGATGGGCTACAAATCAATCTATCAAATAAAATTATTGAAAACAGAAACACTGTAATCATTGCAACTGTTGCCCAGAATAACACAGAGACAGAAAGATAGATCTTTTATCTTCCTACAAACACCTGATATAGAAAGATTTGTTCTGGAACAGAAAGTTATGTTCTTTTCCTCCGGCCACTTTTAAAAGGCTGAAAGAGGTTCCTGATACAGATATATTTCTTCCCCAACAGAAAAAAAGCTATTACATTTTAATCAAGCAATAAGAACCAGAATGCTAAAATAATCCAAAACGCTGTAATAGATACTCTTAAATAATTGACCGATAAAGTAGAATTTCAATGCGTTTTGGAAGTAGTTGCAGCATATTTAATTACAGTTCATTTAATTCTACTGAGTTTATTAGCAGCCATTGAAAAATCAGTTACTGTTAAAACTCCAATTATATTTGCTTAAATCACATTGAAATCTCACAACATAAACCTTGAAGACTTGTGATGAGGTTAACAACCTGGAGAAGGAATTCAAATTATTTATCTATAAAAGTCAAGCCAGTACCTTCTTGACATAAAGAAGGACACAATGTCCAATCACTGTAAGGAGTCACAATGCAGTCTTTCCTGCAGGGCAATAAACAAGGTCTAACAGTTTCAGGACGAAGGTTTTCGGGACACCTATAAAAAACAATGAAAACATTAAATGTTCAGTGAAAACCATATGGTACTTGTCAAAGTTGTAATAGAAAAGATGAAAAGGAAATAATTTTTTTTAAAAGAAAATTTCATTACCTTTCAGAATCATGGATCACATTGTTCATTTATTCCACACTGATGTTTCTGTACCTAGTGGGGGGGGGGGGGTTTGCATCCCAATAACTCAGAGGAAGTCTCTGCTAAACCATAACAACTGAACAATATCACAAAAGTCTTCTCTATACTCAAGAGAATTTCAGCAGTTTTTGTGGTTATGCAATGGAATACAATTTTCTATATTTGGCATAATTCAGTAGTAACTGTACCAGGATTATTTCATAGGTTGATCACAGTCATAAATTTGATTAATAGAATTTTGAACGGAAGCTGTATCTGAAGTCTGGAAAGATATTTTGTTTTGTGCAAGAAATAGGAAAGGATACTCCAGGGAAATGCACACTAGTCTGATTAAATCGGAGGGCAATAAACTGCCAGATCATAATTCAACATGGATTATCAAAAATTGAAAACAGAATTATTACCATACGGTAGATTCATCATATTATTCCCTATAATTCCCTAACTCAACTGTTCATCTAAAGGTGTCTATTACATATTCCATCTTCTGATCATAGTATTTGTTTTCTTGCTTTTAAATCAAGTTGTTGAGATTATAATTACATCTGCAGCTATCTCTCTTTCTCTCTCAAACCTGCAACCTTATTCAAGGTCAAATTAAAATGAAGTCATATAAACTGAAGTCTGTTACTCTAAAAATAAAGCCGATAATATTGATTGTATCTTTTCCCACTAATTCTTTTTATTAAGAGAAGTAAAATCATGGTTCTCATTTGCACTTTTATGTACATCTTCTGCTCTTTAAAATCTTATTAAGTGACATGAGCATGATGGTTCAAGACATTAACTAACATATTTCAGTTTTTCCTTCATGAGACCCCATCTATTATACTGTATATTGCTACTAACATATTGGAAACCTAGTGATCAATATGTACATTTGGAAATAACACTTCTAATAGATGCAGCTGTTTTGTAAACTAGAATAAAATACTGTAGTTTCAATCCAATGCATTTGTATGAACAAATTTGGATCTGTTTTTAACATTATTCCATTCTGTTCTGAGTTCCATTCTGACATGGAATTATGTCTATAAATACAAGTAGTTTAGAAGACATTTAGGTACTAGTGTTATATTTACTTTTTGGGTGGTACTTGTCCCATGTTGAGTCTCACACAGATGACTTTCCTTGTTTGCATTCCAACAGCACAGGTAGCTTCTCCATTCCAACCAGCGGAAGAGTTGAATGCAGACACAGAAGTATCTTCTATGCATTGCCCCCACTGTCCAGTCTGCCAGTGATAAACTGTGCAAGGATGTTCATTGCAAGTGCGTGTTTCCTGTAGCATGCTGATATTTGGGCACTGAAGGCCACCTAGAAGAAATAATGTTGGAATATACAATAGGAGAAATAAAAAGAATTGTAACTGTAATGGGGAATAAATAGATGATATATCAAGTATTCCTACTCTCCCACCCAAATACATCATTTTAATCAAGGTGGGTAGAAAAAAAATAGACAAGCATTAAGCTGTTTGTTATACTAAGCTTTTGATTGAAAGGGCTCTTCAGCTGTAGCCTGAATGCTCTTCTCTGAAAACAACATGAAATATATCCATGCATCTAGAAAAGACACAAAAAGGGATCTTGTCCAGTGTTTTCTCTGATTATATGATTTTATGTGTCAGATGCTTTTGTTTAAAATCATAGCTAAAATTATACATTAATCTACAACTTTCAATATTTTTGTCATAAGATATTGAATAGAATTATCTCAACTTATGCACCAGTCTGTATTATCCCCTCTTCTCCATACACCACAGCTGAACATTTCCAGAATTAATTAACCATATCATTACGTTATTATATCTGAACTGGGAAACTGTAGTTAATAAGACTAGGAAAGTTCAGCATCTGAACCTAGCTTCAAATTAAGAAGGCAGCAGCCAATTTTTTAATTTTTGTAACCAAAGATCCTTAGTAAGAACACAATGGGAATGTATGAGTGATTATAAGCAGAAAAGAGACACAATGAGTCTTTTGATATTTCTGAACTATGTCATTATATATGTCCCATGTTACATTGCATTTTTAGATACAATAAGTAATAAGAGATTGTGGATGTTTAATCTAAAAATCCATTAGATCACATTACTTGGGACAAAAGTAGAACTGAATTAGCATTAAGAGACTATTTTCATTACCTATGGCTATCAGAATGTCTTCAAATGAATATCACTAACAAACAAAACATTAATTGGAAATTACAGCCTCTCTCTCTCTCTCTCTCTCTCTCTCTCTCTCTCTCTCTCTCTCTAAGAAGAAGAAGGAGGAGGAGGAGGAGGAGGACAGTGATGAAGATGCACTGAAATTAGTATATCAGGAAGGCTTACTGATTACTGGAGAGACCAAACTGGCCTACAAGAAAGACCAAATGAATAACAGAATAGAGGCATGGGAAGACAAAGCACTAAGCACTACATGGCCAGTACATTAAAAAAAATAGCTGGGAAAGCAAATAATAACAAGACCTGGCAATGGCTAAGAGCAGGAAAATTGAAGAAAGAGACTGAGGGACTAATTCTGACTACACAAGACCAAGCCTTAAGGACAAATGCATACAAAGCCAAAATTGAGAAGACAGCAACAGACAGTAAGTGCCACCTATGCAAAGAAGCTGAAGAAACAGTGGACCACCTGGTAAGCTGCTGCAAGAAGATCGCACAGACTGACTACAAACAGCGGTATGACAAAGTAGCAACAATGGTGCATTGGAAGATCTGCAAGAAGTATCATTTGCCTGTAAACAAGAACTGGTGGGATCATAAAATAGAGAAAGAAATAGAAAATGATAAAGTTAAATTGCTCTTCGACATTATAATTAAAACAGACAAGCACCTGCCACACAACACCCCAGACATAACAATTGTTGATAAGACAAAAAAAGTCTGGCTAGTGGACATGGCAATGCCTGGAGACAGCAGAACAGATGAGAAAGAACTGGAAAAGATAACAAAATAAAAAGCTACAAAGCTACAAACAGAAGTAGAATGACTGTGGCAAAGGCAAGCAAGGGTAGTACCAATAATAATAGGCACCTTGGGTGCAATCCCAAAACAACTGGAGCACTACTTGAACAATTTGGATTTGATAAATTTGGATTTGACAAATTTGCCATTAGTCAATTGCAAAAGGCGGCCTTACTATGAACAGCTTCCATCCTGCGATGATATCTGTAATACCATCAAACATCCACATCTGCCTATTCGAGGTCCTTGGTAAGGACTTGGTAGGTAGACAAAATGCCAAATCCAGTCTGAACATCTGGCTGACTATGCAATGATCAATAATAATAATAATAATAATAATAATAATAATAATAATAATAATAATAATAATAATAATAATAATAATAATAATAATAATAATAATAATAATAATAAAAAAGTTGGAAGGGATCTTGGAGGTCATCGAATCCAACCCTCTGCTCAGGCAGGAAACCCTACACCATTTCGGACAAATGGCTGCCCAGTCTTTTCTTAAAAACTTCCAGTGTTGGAGCATTCACCGCTTCTGGAGACAGGCTATTCCACTGGTTAATTGTTCTAACTGTTAGGAAGTTTCTCCTTAGTTCTAGGTTGCTTCTCTCCTTGATTAGTTTCCATCCGTTGCTTCTCGTCCTGCCTTCAGGCGCTTTGGAGAAAAGCTTGACTCCCTCTTCTTTGTGGCAGCCCCTGAGATATTGGAACACTGCTATCATGTCCCCCTCGTCCTTCTCTTCATTAAACTAGACATACCCAATTCCAGCAGCCTTTCCTTATATGCTTTAGCCTCCAGTCCCCTAATCATCTTTGTTGCTCTTCTCTGTATTCTTTCTAGAGTCTCAACATCTTTTTTACATCATGGTGACCAAAACTGGATGCAGTATTCCAAGTGTGGCCTTTCCAAGGCATTGTAAAGTGGTATTAATACTTCACATGATCTTGATTCTATCCTTCTGTTAATGCAGCCCAGCACTGTATTGGCTTTTTTGGCAGCTGCAGCACACTGCTGGCTCATATTTAAGTGATTGTCCACTAGGATTCCAAGATCCCTCTCACAGTTACTACTATTGAGCAAGGTACCCCCTATACTATACCTACACATTTCGTTTTTCTTGCCTAAATGTAGAGCCTTACTTTTTTCACCATTGAATTTCATTTTGTTAGATAGCGCCCAGTGTTCAAGTCTGTCCAGATCCTCCTGTATCTTAAGCCTGTCTTCTGGAGTGTTGGCTATTCCTGCCAGCTTGGTGTCATCTGCAAATTTCATGAGTTCCCCATCTATCCCCTCATCCAAATCATTGATGAAGAGGTTGAAGAGCACTGGGCCCAGAACAGAGCCCTGGGGCACCCCATACACACTTCCCTCGTAGATGCGGTTCCATTGAGGACCACACGCTGAGTACGGCCAGTCAGCCAGTTACAATTCCATCTGGTGGTGATGCTATCTAACCCACATTTTTTTATCTTATCGAGTAGTAGGTTGTGATCTACTTTATCAAATGCCTTAATGAAATCCAAGTAAATTATATCCACAGCATTTCTCTGGTCCACTAATTTTGTCACCTGGTCAAAGAATGCAATAAGGTTTGTCTGGCATGATCTGTTTTTGACAAACCCATGTTGGCTTTTGGTATTGAGTTTGTTTGCCTCTAGGAGGTGTTTGCTGTTTCGTTGCTTGATTATCTTTTCCAGAATCTTCCCAGGTATTGAGGTCAGGCTGATACGTCTGTAATTTCCTGGATCCATTTTTTTTCCTTTTTTGAAGAACCCTTGATGTAGTCGAGAAAAGGTCAGGAGACCATCAAGGGGTCACGAGGTCCTAGAAACTTTTTATATCAAGTCACCAAGACTCTAGTGTAGACGGTCAAGGAACTCTTGGAACCCCACATTAGGTAGACCAGGACCACTAAACTTGAGCAGATCGCTGGACAGGTGCTCACTTACCATTTTCTTGCCTATCTTAACGTGTTTCTATTCTGTTTTTTATGGCATATATTTATATGTAAATGTATATGTATATGTATACACGCACACACACACAAACACATATTTTTAAACAAGATATATAATGCCAAACAGGTCTTATGACCTGCTCTGTTTTTGTTCACCAGTACTTCAAATTCTCAGTAATAGTATGCTAGTGCTACGAAGTAAGAACCAAAAATATATCAGGGATTAATTATTTGTTTACTAACTTTAAAAAGCAAAGTGGCTGTTGTGTCTGCATGTATACACTAACTTCATCAGAGAAAGAGGTAAGATTAGTAATTTTATTTCTTTCCCCATCTTATCTTTTCTTGGCTTGAAACTCAACATTAAGAAAACCAAGAGCATGGCATCCGGCCCTCTCAATTCCTGGCAAATAGATGGGGAAGAAATGAAGGTAGTGACAGATTTTATCTTCTTGGGCTCCAAGATCACCTCAGATGGGGACTGCAGCCAAGAAATTAAAACACGCTTGCTCCTAAGGAGGAAAGCTATGGCAAATCTAGACAGCATACTAAAAAGCAGAGACATCACCCTGCCAACAAAAGTACGTATAGGCAAGGCATGGTTTTCCCAGTTGCAATGTATGGCTGTGAAAGCTGGACTGAGAAAGGCTGAATGCAAAAGAATTGAGGCCTTTGAACTATGGTGCTGGACAAGATTCCTGCAAGTCCCCTGGACTGCAAGGCGATCAAACTGGTCAGTCATAGAGGAGATCAACCTTGACTGCTGTTTAGAAGCAAGAGCCTGAAGTTGAAACTCAAGTACTTTGGCCACCTAATGAGGAGGAAGGACTCACTGGAGAAGGGCCTAATGCTGGGAAAGAGTGAGGGCAATAGAAGAAGGGGATGACAGAGAATGAGGTGGCTGAATGGAGTCACTGAAGCAGTAGGCATGAGCTTAAATGGACTCCAGAAGATGGACAGGAAGGCCTGGAGGAATGTTGTCCATGGGGTCGCGATGGGTCGGACATGACTTCGCAACTAACAACAACATCTTTTCTTAATTCTCAACCAGAATTATCATCATGTTTCTAAAGCAACTAAAAGATGCTATTGAGATGTGTATTCAGAAAGAAGATTAAGAATTTTTTTAGCTGTGGCAATGGCCATCAGAAGCCATGCTCTACACTTAATTAAGCCAGGAACTTTCTTTTTCTACTTATTATTATATTCCTTCACCATTTTGTCACCAATTTTTCTATTGATTTGAATATAAGAGTTTGCAGAAAACAATATCTACTAGTCTCCCTTGAGTTTGACTTACATATGCTATAATTGCCATATGCCATAACTGCCACTTCCTGACAGTTAGAACAATTAACCAATGGAACAACCTGCCTCCA